TCCCCTTTGTAAATCCATGCCGGCTACTCCTAATCACCTTCTTGTCCTTAATACATTTGCAGATGACTTCCAGGAGGATTTGCTCCGTCACCTTCCCAGGGGTCAAGGTGACACTGAGTGGCCTGTAGTTCCCTGGATCCTCTTCCTTGCACTTCTTGAAGACAGGCAAGATGGGAGTGACTTTTGCTTCCTCCCACTTCCCCTGATCTCTACGACCTTTCAAGCCTAACAAAAAGCAGTCTCACAATGATATCAGCCAGCTCCCGCGGCACTCATGGATGCATCCCATCAGGTCCCATCATCTGTCTGTTCATTCAGTCCTGACATGTATTCCATGGACACGGCGATGCACAAGAGACTGCGGCATGCATCCTCTACAAGGAGGGATTACAGTGTAGAGAAACATCCCCAAGTTCCTCTTACCTGTAGCCAGATGCAGAAATTAATTTTGGTTTGCTTCAAACTGATCTCTGAACTCCCTTTCAATCTCTCATCACCTACTGACCTTCCGCCTCTCTAGCAGGCTTCCTGTTCCTTCTGCAGTTGAAAAAAAAAAAATAACAACTTGGTAGCTTTAATGTGTTTTGTTAATTGTTTTTCAAACAATGTTTTCTATAGCCTATTTAACTTGCCAGACTTTATGCGCCTACCTAATTTTCCCTCTGGATATAGATTCCACTTTGTGAAGAGTACTTTCTTACTTCTCGTACCTCTACCAACATACTGCAGAGCCATGGCAGCTACTATTTGGCGCCATCGTTATACACAAATTTAAAGGTCAAGATCTCAGCTTGAGCTGTAATGGTAGGGTGCAGCTGAAGTGACTTCCTCCTGTAGTTTTCTCTTCTGGACTATGCCTATTCATCTGAGTTCCAGGCATGGTTGCAAAGAAGGTACCAGAGAGACCACAAGCCAAGTGCACACAGGGAATGGTCACAAATACTTGAGAGGGATGAACCTGAAGTACATAAGAAAGTCCAGAGTGCCAGTGTTCACAAATGGCATACCCAAACAGCGCATGTGGAGAGCTTTGTTTTTCCTCTTCTCTCCTGCTGAGGACAAACCAGCCTAGGCAGACCTCAGCTCCCAACATGTATATGATTAAGGCAGGTAACTGCACTTTCCCCCAAGAAGGGCTCTTAACCTGCTTTGCACCACAGCCTTCCTGGAATACACATTTGGGGGGGAGGGAGAAGAAACAGGGAGGAGAAGAACAGGGGAAAAAAGAGCCCTACAGAGCATTACCACTTACTGCGCATCCTAGATGCCCCCCCAACACAATAGCTCCTGGCATAGGAGCGCTCTCAGCCAGCACAGAGAAAATAATCATCATTTAGTTTCTTCCCAGAAAGAAGGATTACCCTACTGATCCTTCCTTACTGCTCTTCTGTTGCACTGTCCAATTCTGCATCTCCACCCCCCACCCCTGGCTTCTCTCCTTAATGTACTGCACACCTGAGTACCAGCTAACCTTCACAAGCTCAAGGACAAAGGAGACAGGGCAAGAAACAGCTAGTGCCTTCTCACCACTTCCCATCATCCTTGACTGCGTATCAGCAATGAAGAAAGCACGGGCAACTATTTTACATCTCAAGGGAAAACTGTTTCCCTGGCTCTTGACTCAAAGAGTCACAATAAAACTCCTCCGGACACCAGACCCCACCAGTCCTTTCACAGCCTCTCAAAATGCTCCCCTGGACTCCAGGGTCTTTAGATTAGGCTCTGAAAGGCAAGTGGGAAAATGAATGGCTGCTGCACAAGCTTTCCACTTTTAGGTCTACAAGAGCACAGACACTGTCACTACTACGGGAGGCTGTAGCCTATCACCCAGGGAGAAAGCAACACAATTTCTCATGGAGTTTCCTATTCTATAACATCCAGACTTTCAGAGTGAGACTAAAATGCCGTGCTTCAGATAGATTGCAAGTCATGAATGATGGGGCGATACCTGGTTGGATTAGGAATCAGTACCACACACTGTGTTTTCCTCTGTTCCCTCCGCTCAAGTCCCAAAGATAGCATGTAGTCATGGTCCGCAGAGCCTTCTTTCCACATGTGCTTCTGCTCAATTTGTCTCATGCTCACTCCACACTCCTAATTTTAGTGAGTCACTTCAGGACAGAACTTTAAAATGCTTTTCTGCATAATAACTAACAGATTGCTCAGACCTACCACCAACGCCTCGCAGAACAAAATGGAACATCTTGGCAGAGAGAAGTAATAGTAAAAACTGTATTTATTTTTCTTTCACAAGACAGAGGGAAAAGGCCAAAGGCTGCTTTCGTTTGATTCTCTCCTTATCAAACCCTGGAACGTTGACTCTATAGGGGAAAAAACAAAGAAAAACAAAACAAAAAAACCACTCCACTTATCCAAAAAGGCACTTTCCTAGAATAAGCAGTGGTACATCAAGCCAGATATTCATTGCAGTGGGTCCCAAACACTCCCATAATCAGTCCATGGTATTGCTACAGTAGAGTCCCCTTGTTATGCCTTTACGATCACCAACCACCATTTTACCATCTCTGGTAGGGGTTCCTAGCTCACTAAGACTTCTGTTGTTTAGCCCAAAGGGCCCAAAACAGAAGGAACCAGTAGAAGGACAAACCATGCCTCACTGACCACACACTAGGGCTGACAATTTTGCAGCTGCTTCTAAAGAAAGCAGTGAAAAAAACCCCACAGAGCAGCGACAGTGAGAGTAGGGAGTGAAAACAACATCCATTTATACCACTTAGTGTGTTGAAGAATGCTTATACAGTCAGGAAGATCTGCTGTTTCCCCACAAAGTCTTTGTTCTTAAAGATGTTCAGTGTTGGGAGAGCTGCAGACGTTCAAAATCCTGAATGCCTCCGGGATATACCATAAAGCTGGGCAGAACAAAGGGGCAGCACTACATACATACATGCATGTGGTGCCAGCCACTGGAGGGGTGTTTCCAGCACCTTCTTCACTCCAGAGTGGCTACTTGTGCACAGACCTCACACCCTGCCCAACTCACAGGCAGGTAGCTTTCAATCAAAGCAGCGCTAGCCTCCGATCAACACCGGACAGCTCAGCATTAAAAAAACAAAAAACCAAAAGGTGCACACCCTCCTTAAGCTCCCATGGCCATTTTCCCTGAGGGACAGGGAACTGTTTTGTAAAAGTCATGGGCAATTTGTGTTTCTCACTTTTATCATCAAAGAAGAGACAAATAATCCTGAGACACACAGAGAAATGTTGCATGCAGAGTCTTTTACGTTTTTGACTGTTGCCTTGGCTAAATTGAGCAAACCTCACATTGCTTATGGTTGACCTGGGAAACGGAAGAGGCCTCAGACAACTGCAGATCTAGAAATCATTTGAGTCACACTCAGAGGACTTGCAGGAAGCACCACATGAAAGAGCTGTCACTTTGGGGCCAGGTGACACGGAAGATCTGACCAACTTGTGGTCATGAAAGGGGCCATTGGACCACCCCACTGCTGTTCCTAGGTGTAAGAAGAGGAGGCACGCTGGAGGCAGAAAAGATTTTACAGTGAGATCATAATCTCTTCGTAGTGTAGGAGAGGGGATGGCCAATGCTCTGCCCATCTGCATTAACCCTATCGTAGTGCCAAGCTCATGTGCCTCAGCAATCCCCTTTAGAATGTGGTGGGGACCAGACGTAAAGATGCTGATGGTCTCGAACTTATTCTTGTTTCTCACTGCTCTTTCTCCATTATTTTCTGACAAGAACTGTAAGAGCATCAATACATCCTTTTGTCCATCAAGGCAAGGGACGAGTTCTCTCCCACAGTTTGTTCAACAAACTTGCCTCTGTGGTGGGAATCCTCAAAGGCACATCAGCACCTTGCGATAGATATACTAACTTTCTCCACTGCAATTCAGGAAGATGCTCAAGGAGAAGAGTAAAGCTTTCCACTGCCCTCCTCAAGACCTCCCAGGAGAGATTTGTACTCCTGGACAGTGAATTGGAGGAGTACTCCAGGCTACTTGAAGAGGTCCACCATAAATGACTCACAAATGGACTTGAATTTAGACACATAGGTTCCCTACCAAGCTCTCTGTAACCTTGGAAATACTTGGAAATATCATGCCTTTCCTTTAGGATCTGCCCAAGTGCTGAAAGATCTGGTGCATCTTAGACAAAGTTATGGACATTTGGTCACAGAGACAAACTCAGTGTAAAAGATAGTTCAGCTCTTCCTGTGTCAGGTGCAATTTAAGGTGTGATTTGGATGAGCTCTCCTGCTCATCGCAGGGTGTTAATTTGCCGCTACTATAAAATAAAACATTGCTGTGCAAGAGCTCCTTCTAAACGATGAGCTGGCCTCAGATCCTCATGTTCTGATTCACACCAGATTTCCACGTCTTTAGATCTATGACATCGAACAGAGACTATAGCATCCTGCTCCCTGCTCAAACCAGACATGAGAAAGTCTCCTCCACCAAAGGCTTCAGAAGAGAAGAGAATGAAAAGAAAAAGAAGTTGCTTTAGCCCTTTCTTTCTTCTCTGTCTTCCTCTACATTTTTCTCAGGAGACCTCCTCTAGCACATCTTTAACTTCCTCCTCAGTTCCTGTTCTTTGCTCTCCCATCCTTTCGTGGCTTTGAGGACCACACTTCAAAAGTCCTGAGAATCAGGCTAAGAGATATGCATTTCTACAAAGGCCTCTTCCAGGTTTACAGCCATAGAAAGGGGCCTTACTCCTCTGAAAGGCTGATGGAAGCTGCCACAAGTGGCGCAGCACTTGCTCCCCTCCTGAGATTTCTCTACCTGACCAAGCAGAGCAGAAGAAAGGTCCTGCAGAGAAACAAAATACTGCTGGTAGGCAGTTAAAGTCAAGACAAAGAGCTGCACAGACGTTGGCTGAAGCAGGCTCCACCTACACGTACACCCCACAAATGGCTTTTATCCTCAACTCCCACCACCTCACTTCAAAAGAAGGTTCATTTGTGATGGAAGAGCTGGAGAGTTGTGGGCTCCCAGGCAACATCTCTTAGCTGACCCTTGAGTCACTGCAGTTCAGAGTCCTTCTTCATGATACCGTATGTGGCAGGGCAGAAGTGGGAATGCAGCTGAGCCAGCAAAGTCTGGGATGTGATCTCTAGCCTTGTGCCTTGGCTCTTCTTGTTCCATACATGCACTGCATAGGTGTTATTAAAGAGGTGGTGAAGCTCTGAGGAGCTGACCACTTCAAAGTATTTCTTCCAGTCCTGCCACCGAATAGGATAAAAAGCCTCCCGGGGCAGAGCACTGACTCCTTTGCAGCTCGTACTGCTCCGAAGACTCCTGATGGAACACCACTTCTTGAAGACACGCGTTAGGAGCTGTGGGCCCTGATGCCCCCAGATCCAGCTGTTGTAGTTGTCCACAAAGTCCTGCATGCAAAGCTCCATGAACTTGTGTTTGGGTTTAAAGGACAGAAAGGCCCCGTTCAGTACATACTTGGACTGGGTACCAAGCACATTGGTGAGGTTCTTTAAGTTCTTAAGCACAATGAAGTCTGTGTCCAGGTAGATGCCACCAAATTTCCACATGATGGCAATTCTGCAGGCATCAGACAGGACAGGTAAGAAATAAGGCTCCCAGCGCTGCTGAGCCTGCAAGTACCACTTTGCCAGAGGTGTTCCAGAGAAAAGCTCTGGCAAGTCCAGGGGCCGGATTTCCACGTTGGGGAAGCAGCTCAGCAACGAGAAGCCCCAGTGGTTGGGTAACGAGGTGTTACCATTTACCAAGCCTTTCATGAGCACCACGACTCTTGTCCCAGGGTGTGTCCGGGCCGCTGACTCCACAGATCACGTGAACAGGTAACTTGGGTTAGTTCTCTCCGAGGTCTCCACAAAAAACACATCCCCTGGGGAAGGAGAGGGCCCACCGGCAGTGGGACGGGGAGGAGAAGGCACAGAGTGAGCACAGCGAATTTCAACAGGCAAGCTGTAGACCTGGCCCCTGCCCTTAGGGTCTTCCGTGATTCTCCAGTACAACATGATGGAGACAAAGGACATGAACTTAAAGGTGAGGATAAACAGAGCCCTGAACTTGTGGCTCAGCACCACCCTGGTCAGTTTTAGAAGGCAGTTGGGCATCCTGAGCATTCTCGCTCCCTTCAGAGCCTGCTCTCCCAAGACAACCGTCGTGATCTGAAGAGGAGGAAAGAAGAAAAAGACATTGACAGGGAAGGCAACAGATCACGAGCCTCAAGACAGTACTATGGCAGAGCCACATGCTGAACTCTCCTTCATGCTGGCATGCTTGAATTACACCTTTAGGTCACCTTTAAAAAAGCATCCTGGCTTCTCCATGCTGCCACAGTGCCCACAGGGCCCCATTAGAAACCACAGCCCATGTTCAGGTTGTGAGGTTATGTGACAAAGCTCATCTGTACACCCACAAAAAGCTCAGAGGGACAATGGCAGGAGGGAGAGCCCAAACACACCCTGCCAGGCTACTCCCAGTCCCATCACAGGGGCCATCAGCCCATCAATGGCCCATCTGCCCAAGCCCAGAGGAGCACAGGAGCACAATGGCAGGTGGGATCCCAGATCAAGGACTCTGGAAGAACCAGCACCTTGTCTGGACCCCTCCCAGGGCTGTTCCAGTGTCCAGGCATGGAACCCATCACCACAGTCACTAGAAGCAGCAATCCAATCACCTTTCGTACTAAGGGCGTCACTGCCTAGGGGTGGAACATATTATGGGGTGCGGGGGAAGAACAGTTTGGAATCACACAGGACTTATGAGATATTTGGCAAAGAAACCAAAGGCAGGGCAAGGGAGGGGTTTAGGTGATTTTGGGAGGAACAAGAGTGGGAAAATAGAGGTGTAAGGGGATAACAAGGGCCAGATGCAGGTAAATAGCTTGCTGGTCAGTACGCTTGTCTGGCTGTGCCCTGTGCCTGATCAGCAGAGTCTCTCTTGTCTTCTTATTAAATTCCTTTCTGACTCTTTCCTGGGTGAGGGCTTTCAATTCTGTGTGCACATGTGCATATCGGGGTTTGAATGCAGCAACTGGGGTCAGACCACAGGTCGGAGGAGCTATGTGTCCATGGTGCCAGCAACTGGAGTGAGCGCGAGTGTGCAAGTGTGCAATGGCTAGCAAAGATCAAGTGGACCAGCCTGTGAGTATACAAAGTGGCCTGGGAGCCAGAAGCATGAGTGGGTCCGTAAGGGCCAGCCCTGGGTGTGAAAGCACCTCTAAGGGCGAGAGTACAGGGGGGTCGGCTATGGGACATAGAAAGTCCTGGCCAGCTCTGTGTGTGTATGTTTGACGGTTTGTACCAGCAACTGGAGTAGGGCTGTGGCCTTGTGGACTTGTATGTCCAGGTGCCAGCAACTGGGGAGACTGGGATCCAGGGGCAGCTACTGGGCTGAGTGTCTAAGCCCAGCTGCTGGAGGGATCCACTTTGTACATATGTCTATGTATATTCTCACTTGTGGACTTCCATCCTGTCCAACCAGCCAGAGAGGGGAGCACGATGAGGCTGTTGGTGCTCCCTATGTTCATGTGGGTGCTCTGAGTGTCTGCCTGTGATCTGTGTGGCCAGCCATGTATATGCACATATATATGTAGTGTATATGTGTGCTTTGTGTGCATGTGCCTGCTGAATACATCTTCAGCCTCACTACTGTCTGGACGTGGAGCAGCACCAGTCTCACCTCTCTCGGGCTGTTGGAGCTAGTATGATATATTGTCCCCTAGCAAAGATTACTTTCCTTCAGAAACAAAATATGGCCAAGCCTCTCCGTTTATCACAAACCAAGACCGACCCTTACTTCCCTGGATGCATACTGTGCTTGCCACTTGTAAGGAAATACAGTATTTATTCCATTTTATCCTCGTTAGTCCATTATTTTCAAATCAGACATGTACAAGAAGAATCCTAGATACTAGGATTTTAGATTCTCCTTTGTCCTCCAGTTTGCCGCCATACTAATGATCCTGACATCTGACAGTGAGTGGGACAGCTGCTTCTGAGGTGTTTCGTTTTGCCAGAGGAGAACCACCTGCCAGCCTTCCCCAAAACTAGAACTAATCTAAAACCCCAGTGCTATGATCTGTTCCTGTCAAGAGGTCTCAGCTCCCAGAATCACAGAATGGTACTTGTTTCCCTTCCATTTATTCCTCGATAACCAGCCTGTGTCCCATATTTGCCAAAAAGCTCCACAACATGGTAGTGTTTACCATGTTCCTTCACACGGCACCTCTGCTCTTGACCATGCTCTTAATTTTGTATTTAAGCCTCTAGACTTAAAGTACTTGACACTTTCCTTCACTGAAAAAAACAAAACACCATATTTTTCCCTTCTTTCACCATTTAAAACCACACTTTGTGAAAGAGAATTGGACATTATGACTGTTAAGCCTTCAGCACAGCATTCGTCTTTAAAAGACACATTCTCCTCTTTTCCCAACTGTTCTAACCACAGAGCCAGACCTTCTCTAGCAGTGCACTCGAGACTAGGGGGACACCTATATACCCCCCTGTCAGGCAGCTGAGCTGGGATACACAGTGCTATTTCTGCTTTTACAAGCCTAGTGTGACTGTCCTGGCCAGCCCCCAAGTTTAGATCTCTGAAGTCCAAGTATAGATTTGGAGATAAAGAGATACGTTGCAGGAAATGGAAGAGTAGAGCTGAGTTTATTTCCCAGAAAATCCAACAGTTTTTAACAGTCTGAAACAAGGTGTGTCAATGCACAGTCTAATTGAAGGGTGCTGTCATCAATGTGGCAATGCCTTCCTCAAAGCCTGCATAGTCAAAGTGGTGCCAGGCTCTTAATAAAGAAAAAAACAGTAAGGTTTCACAAGGAATATATTCTTTAAAGAAAAAAAAAAATTTGTCTGAAAGATGCAAAACATTTTAGTGTCTTCTCCGCTTTAATCCCCGTTTCCCTTTTTGGTAAAAGTTTGCGTAATTTAAAAGAAATAAAATCAATACAATCCAACAGTGAAAACAGAAGTTTTGTGAGACAAACCAAAAATATGCAGAATGTAATAGAGAATTACATTATGCCTGCTACAGATAGCTATGGGTCAGCTTAATAACAGAACAGAATTTTCCATTTGAGATTAATCATTCTTCAGCTGAAAAAAAGAAAAATCTCCACTGAGATTTTTTTATCTCTCCATTTTTTTCCTCTATTTGAACAAAAGCCTTATCATCCTATGATTTTTCAACACATCTTCAGTCTCTCAGAGAGACCACTTTGGAGCATTTCTACTCTACCTATAGACAATGCCACATCAATAGCCACGTCACGGTGAGCTGCCCTTGCCCTCCGTACCCTCTGCTTTCCTCCAGACTCTAAGAGGGCAACACACTTTCTTTCCACACTTTCTTTGCAAGAAATGGCAAGACCCTGCCATCTCCCCTCCCTCTGTTCTCTCCCTTTTCCCTCTATCACTCCACTCGTGTTTGGAAGGAACAAGAGTGAGGGAGTGAGATTTTCTTTAACCGCATTACACCTGGAGTACATGGTATAGTTACTGCTAGGCTAGTAGTACTGCACCAGCGAAGAGTTTGGGGGTGGGGGAAAAGAGATGGCTACGCAACTCCACCCTGCAGAAACAGCACATCAACAGCAAAAGTTTATTCTAGCTCTGCCCCACAATGAATCTTTTACAGCCTGAATATAAGGGTTTACAAATAAAACTGCATCTATTCTGTGGCTTTTGCCTACACAACTTGTTCAAAGATCACCACTCGTGAACACCTGCAACTGGCTGGTGCTGGCCCTTCTCTAGAAGGCTGTACTTGCGAAAACGCCAAAGCGCCGACGCAGCAATACAGGGGTATGCCAGTCTCACACGTGGAGAGGGGCAACTACCCAGATTATGTCCACATGGGGTTTGTACTGTTTGGCCATGTCATTGCTAAACCACTACATCCCAGCATAATGAATATACTGCCATAGGCAAAACATTCTTGACTTGTGGAATTTCACTTAATTTAATTTATTACAAATTACTATAAACTTTTAATTATCAATTCAGCTACTGAGGGGTGGGGGGTGGACGACGACCAACCAACAATTAAACAAACACTTAGGGAAACACCTTTCCTCCTCTTTCCCCAGGCTCATCTTCAGTCTAACACCTCTCCTCCTCCCTTCCTTGTCTCAACTTCCCTTGTTTTCACTGTGGGTTACACTCAGTCTGTCCCAATTCCTTCAGTGAGGCAACAGGAGGCAAAGGAGGCTGTGGGTCAGTCCTTAACGGTTTCTTTTGGCTGTTCCTTGCATCTCACTTTTCTCCCGCTGCTGCTTGCTTCTTACTGCTCCTCTGCTCCAGGATGGGTTCTACACAGCCTGCAGTCCCTGGTACAGGTTCTCCATGGGCCACAGTCCCTCAGGGGTGTCCCTGCCCAGCATGGGTCGCAGTCCCTCAAGGGTACCTCCTCCAGCACAGAGTGCCTCCTTCCAAGAGAGCATCTCCAGCCACGTACCCAACAATGGCCCCTTCCACACGTCTTCTCCACTTCTTCCTCCCTTTACTCCAGACATATCTCTTCACGTATCTCCCTACACCTCCTTTTGCATGTCCTCTTGTGTCTCTTCTCACATGTCCTCCTGTGTCTCCTCACATCTTTGCTTTTGTGTCTCCTTTTACTTGTCCTCACACGTCCTTTTGTGCCTCCTGCCCCATGTCACCTTTTCATGTCCTTTTTTGTGACTCCTCGCGTCTCCTTTTCTGCATCCTCACATGCATCCTCCCATGTTTGTCCTTTTGTGTCTCCTCTCATGTCTCCTTTCTGTGAGCCCTGTCCCTAGCAGCTACTGCCCTTTCTTAAATACGCTCAAGCAGAAGCACCGTGTGCTGCTCTGACCGGTTGCAGTTTTTGTGTGCAATGGGCTGTTTTCGTCTGTTTTGGAGCTGGTTGGAACCAGCTGGAAGCGGCACAGGGCAGTTCATGGCCCCTTTCCACAGAGGTCACCCCTGCAGCCCCCAGCTCCCCACACCCTGCCAGTTACGTCTAATACAAAGTACCTTGTAGTCTCTACAGAGAAGTCCCTAGCTTGCTTTTTTTTTCCCCTGTAAGGGTGAAATCTGGATTTGGATGTTAGATTACCAATCGGTGAACAGTTCTTCACTACCTAGTGCAAACAAAACGGGTTAAGAAACACATTAGGTGGTCCAGGTTACAGACTTCCTGAATGACTCATGTATTTATTTCCCTTTGTGGTAACATCTGTCTCCAAAAGCTCCCTGTACAATTCTTTAAACAAACAAAGAAAAAGAGCTACCGTGACGCATCATCATTTACCTACTTGCAATGCAAAGGGGATGCCAACAATTTACTGATGGCTTCACATTCCAAAGAACTCATAATTTGCTCAAGCCTGTCAACAGCTTACCCTAAATGTCTCGTTAGCATGTGCCAAATGGCTCTCTACCAGTTAAGCAGAAAGGTAAGGACGTCCCAGCACTGCCACCCCATGTACACACCCTTCTCCAGAAAGCAAGGCTTTGTGTTCCAGCTAAACTAACTTAAGGAGAAATTTCCAACAAAAGGGGGATTTCCTCAGGTATCTGAGGCAGAAAATTCCACCCACAAAATAAATACGAAGCTTTTTTGATGGTTTAGCTCCCACAGAACAGCTTGACTGAAGCACAAACCTTGGGAAAAATGAGGGAAGGTAGTTAAGAGAGCACTATTGCTCCCTCAACACTTCTTCCTTATGAGCAGTGGGGAGACAGCAATGTCCCCGTTTGATTTCTTTCGAAGATACTCAGCAGCTGAACAGGAGAGAAATATCTCAGGCAGTAAATAGGTGCAGTGGATTACTGTTCCAGCAACAACAGTGAAAGCACCAGCGAAACCACAGGCTCCTCCATGGCAGTGTAAACACCTCTAGGACTAGAGCAAAAGCTCCATTTCTTTCTATCATGTCTGCTGAAGTCTTATCTGAAGCTACAAGATGGCTGATGGTCACACACCACTGAAGTCCCATCTAGTAATTCTGATTGATGAAACAAAAGAGGAGGAAATGACCACAAGCACAGAAATGACTGCCACACCAATGCAAACATGCAGCTGCGTTTGCTTAAAATTCACTCATGTTTTTACTTCAGAGGTGCTCTGTGACTAAAAAGCAAAGCAAACATTAATAAGCTCTGAGCAAGGGAGTTTCCTGACCCTGTCAGAAAGAGGCGCTTTAAGACTTTACTTCACAGAGATGACTTAGCAGCAAACAGGTACCACAGCAGCAAGAGTCAAGAGCCAGGTCCTCCCTCACAGGTACCAGGCTGCACTTTCCCATGGGGCAGGGACGGTTCTGTTGAGTTCATTTACTGTGGTGCACACACCAAGGAGTAAACTTGTTTGTTATTTTCAAGTACCTTTAGCATAGTACTTTCTGTGCAGGATGGTGTGCCACATCCCAGCATCAATCACAACATCCATCCCACAAAGTGGTCTTCACATGCTGCCAGATACCTCCTATTTCAGCCCTGATGGTTAGTTAACCATGGCTGAAGCAATATGCAAGGCACAGAGCATGCCATTCAAGAGTTTCCACAAGGCAGACAGGGCTGCAATTCACTGAAGGTGATATAATAGAAGCGTAGAGCATTCTACATGGGTCAGGTAAAGTGCTGGTTTTAAATACTTTGTTAAATATGCTCCTTAATATTGAGTCCAGGATGTTTTCCCAGATTAACATTAGAAAAGATCCAGAGTCTTTTTGCTGCTGCTTCATGGAGAAGGTCAAAGCCATAATTCCATTCCTCTCTGCCAAGAGGTTTTAGCCCTTGCTTCTGTTTTTCTCGGAAAGCCACGACAGGTTTTTTGGGGGATGCACCTATAGCTTTTCCTCTAAAAGCTACTGGAAACGTAAGTCACAAGAAAATACACAAAATCTTAAAATCTCAAGCTAGTATCAAAGGAGAATTGTCAAGGTAAACTTTTAAGTAACATTTGGTGCACCAGAATGACATATATTAAGCTTGAATCTAGAACTAAGGGAATTTAGAATAACCAGTGGGCATAATTCCCATTAAATACACTTGGTGTTAAGGTACCCTTAAGTATAACAAAAAAAAAAAAGCTGCTGAAAGTTTACATGGTCCCTGTTACTGTGTTTCAGAGCAGCTACAGATAGGCATTTCCTTCCTTTCAAGCACAATGGAAAATTAAAGCTTGCAAAGCTTTCATCAAGAACAAATTAGGAAAAAAACAGATCGACAGACTACGCAAACTGTCAAAGCAAACTGTGCAGCGTCTTTCAGTCCAAAGACCATACACAACACTGCTCTGCACTGTCCCTTCCGCTTTTATCCCTTCGCTCTTTCAAGTTTAGCACATTTGCCACGAACAGTAAATAGGAAGTGATACTCTGAATTGTTACTATGTGCTGTGGAGAGTTATGGTCAAGAATGGTCTCTAGAAATACTTGGAACAAGGCAGCCTGCAGCAGAAAGGTAGACAAAGGACTCATGTTTGGAGCCGTGCTTTTTGGTGCTGCCCCCCTGCTACAGATTGTATGGAAGCAGACGCAGGTCAGTTTGTATGAAGCCATTCACACGATCACAGCCTAAGAGGGAAACATGGTGGCCTTTCCAAAGGGTACACCAGGTACCATAGTTAACACATCTAAAATGCCTTGACTTTTTACACAACCTGAATCTAAGTGAATCTAAGTGAAAGTTTCATGCTTATTAAGGCTTCCCCCAATACTAATACTGTACATATGAAACACCAAGAGATAATGCATTTGATTCTGTTCACTTCTGCACACTTGATGAAAATGCGCTATTTGCACTTAGCTCAAGCAGCGCGTATCAGAATCATACGTAACCTCCCCGAATGCCCTCCTTTTAAAATTCAGTGCTATTCACGCTCCACACAGCATTCACATAGAGAATTCAGCTACCTGATCAAGAGCAGAGATTTAATATGGAAATCGTGACTGCCTGCTCAAGTGAATCAGGGCTGAGCCGCTCAAACAAATACAGGGCTGAAGAGGAAGCGTCATTTCTGACTTGCAGCTTTCCCAAAGCCTTCCAGGGAGCTCTGCAGGTGCGAGCAGCACCTCTGCGGCGAGGCCACCAAGGTGTGGGGTGGGAAGGCCCTCTGGTAGATATCTGCTCCTCGCCTGCTCGGGGACATCTCAGGTTACCCAAAAAGCCCCCAAAAGATTAAATTTTCTACTAACCTTCACGAAAAGTTGTTGCTAGTCTTTAGACTATTTACTGAAACATAAGACTCTGCGTGTCCTTGCAAGGATCTCAAATCATCTTGAGTATTTCTTAGTGAAGCTTCCTAAGCACAAATAAAACACTACAGCCTGAGATTTCTATGAGATTTCTATGCCTATTTCATGAACAAAGTGGTAAGATTTACTTGCACCTGACAGACACAACCGCAGAACATACTGCAAAGTCCCCAGCACTAGGTAGTGTACAGCTGGCCAGCACTCCCAGCTGCAGAGTACAGCACTCCAGTGATGTGGGAGCTGTAACCTGCCTCCCAACTCAAAAAGTCCTGTGGTAATTCGAAGCACACTCCTCATTTTCCTTTTTTGAACCTCCATCCCTCCTTCACAGTGGGCCGTAGCCCCTTCACTTCCTCATCGCAGGTGCATCCTTCCCCACGTTGCTCTGCTCCACACCTTCCTCCTCACTCTGCCATGGCCCTTGAGCCCAGCACAGGAGACACTGGGGAGCGGCAGCTACGTAGGACGGCTTCAGGAATCAGAGATGGCAACAGCAAGCACCACCAACCCAGAGCTGTGAGGCAGGACAGAAGATGGAATTGCTCAACAGAGGAGAAAGCACAGTACAAGGCAGCCGGGTTGCAGGCAGGGAACAAGGAAGGAGCTGAGAAACGTGGAGAGGGCTTTTAAGCTGAGGCTCTTGCCCCTGACATTGCAGCCATGCCTGTGTCTGGCCCAGTACCCCATCGATCCAGACCCTGCCCCACAGACTGACCCCAGAGCTGCCTCGCCCCCGTGTGGGGCTCCTGGCTGAGCCCGCTGCACCCCAGGGCTGCCCCACTCGGCTCACGGAGGCTGGCACGGGTTGGGGAGGGCCTGCCCAGCCCCTTCATTCCCCAGGGCCCTGCGTGGCTCCCCAGTGTACTGCTGGGGTAACACCATATAGCATCAGGGTGCTGGGCTCCGCTGTACCAAACCAAGGTCCCCAGGGGATTGAGTGGCGAAGGGTTTCATACTGGTGGGAGCACCCCAAGCAATGCAATGAGTACGGCGGGGCGAGGAAACTGCCAGGCACGAAGGGGAGCAGGCGGATTTACGGACAGACCTGGGTAGAGAAAGGCTGTCGAAATCAGGAACCCAGCTACAGTGCACAGTCAGAATGGTATCTCCTTCCCCCCAAAATACTACACGAGCATCTTATTCAGCACCCTGTCAAGAAAAGTTTCCCAACACTTTTTTTACGGCTTAGCATTTGGGTCATCTTTAACTGCAAGGAGCAGTTTTTGTACCTCACAGCTTTTAGCTTTCAAGAAACAGACCACACAAACCCCTCATCAATATTTAAAATAAAAGAGAAGGCAGAATTTGGCTGTGGAAAGCTGCTGGAAAGGACAAACAGACAAAAGGGACAGATGCTAGCAGCAGAACAGCTAGCAAACTGATACAGCTCTTTGCCACCGACAGCTTTCAAATAGTAGTTTCCTATTACTGCATGTTTGTAGAAAGCCACGCACACTCATTGTATAATAGGGCTGGAAACTGCGTATAAAATTTAAATCTAAACACTGTTTTAACCCTCACAGCTCAAGCAATTACTGGCATGTGGCTAGAAAAGGAGCAGCTCTTTGGAAGGACATGCACATACGAGCAGACTGCGAGAATACGGAAGTCAGAACGACGCCTGGTTGGGAAGTGAGCAAATCCTCACTGAGGAGGATTACTCAGTGAGCAAATTACTGCTGCCTACAAGCTTCGGCAAGGGCTTCACAGCAGATCTTGCAAAAAAGAGAGAAGGCACTGAGGATGCTGTCCTCTTCTACAGGGAGGTCAGTCATATGTGACCGGGCATCCAGCAGTATTAACAAGTGAAGAGATAGAGTGTATTAGAGCATACTAATGATTAAACACTTCAAGCCTAATAGGCCAATGTGTAGCGATCTTTTCCTTACCCCAATCTGGATGACACTTTCCTTCCCTGTTTTTAAAATCCAGAGGCATGCTGGAAAAGAAAAATGGTCCAACAGCAGACCACCACACATGGATTCAGGGGATTTCTATTTATTTTGCTGCTCTGGAACAGGTTTCTTACGGGCCAAGAAATAAGTCACTTAAAACTAAAGCATAAAATCTCACCTCTGCCTTGAAATCATAGTGAAGTAGATGTCTAAATTTCTTCAAGGATCGCGGGGGGGTTGTTTTTCTGTCTCTAACACAACTTGCCTCCTGTGAACATGGAAGGAGTACTTTCCTCCCTGGACGGAGCCATTGCAAGGCTGAACATATTCAAGATCGGGAGATATTAGCTCATGTATCTTGCACAGATGGGAGGTTTTGTGCAATTATACAAAACATACCGTGTGAACATTTTCCTTTTTAACCGAAAAACTTAAATACTAACATGATTGTACTTAATCCTTCACTCACAGAGGAGCGGTTGGTTCACAATGCCATAATCTGAAGTTCCACCAGATCTCGTTTAAACTGTTGGGCAGAGTTCCCAGCTCCAGTTTAAGACAATTGTAAAAGCCAATAGAGACAAGCGAAGAAGCGAGTTACAAGCAAAGAAGTGAGTTGGTAACATATCACCTGTTTCCCGATGAAAGCACTCAAAATAAGATTTGTGAATCTGTTCTGGAATCTGAATGACCCAGCGATGTAAGGGGTTTTAAGTATTTGTTTGGGCAGGAGTGCCTGTGGAAAAAAAAAACAAAAAAACAACTCCAGATGAGAGCAGAGAAAGGGATCTCAAAGCCGGAAGACGCAGTCCAAGCTTTTAACAAGCACGGGAAGCGCAAGCC